ATCATGGTAGTGGTCACCGGCTCGATTGAGTATAGAGGAATATTGGGCACCTTGGACGCCTGACTCCGTCTAAAGGGCGTATGATCCGATGAAATACACATCAACCCTTGATGGATTGCGGTTTTGAAACAACTTCGCTACCTTGCTAGTTAGGCTCTAGCTAGTTAGGGAGTCCGGTTGTGAATTCTCGAAAAATTAACTTGCTATGGCCTGCTCGGCATAGTTCGAACTCAGGATTGCTTACTACCGAATAGAATCATATTTAGATCCGACGTTCATTCGTGAAACCTTGAGAGCAAAATTCTAACTTATAAGACCAAATTGATGATAGAAGCAAGCGAATCACTAGATAGTCATGAGACAGTAAGCAAAAGCAGCGTAAGAAAGTGCATGGTTAATGGTTTTAAAACATGAAACTGAATCACTGAAATTGGAAAGAAGACTGATAAGCTCATCCGTCTTTGAACGGATCCAGTGTCCCACACACCACAATTCTTATTCAACTGAAAACAATCACCCTAGAATAGTAAAGGCTGTTCAACGGTCCTCTTTCGGTCACTCCGAAAGTGCAATGCATGTAAATCTATCCCGGTTTACCGTTGTCTGCCGAGCGGAGATAGCTGTATGCAAAAGTCTTCTCACAAGTCGTCGCTGATGAGATGATTTTGATTTATTTACTCGGAAGCGAATAATTGCAATGTGAGGAAAAGTTGGCTTCAAGGTAAAAAAAGTTTGAGAATATGGCATCATCGGGCATTGCTCTTAAATAGTGTAATCCAATCCCTAGCAAAACCAAGTATTAATTGCGGGGCAACTGTCAGTTTTATTTGGTGCCGAGTTACATTCGCATATGTCAGAGGCATTTGCATTTGTGGCTTTCTGCTGTAAAGAAACGGTCTGTCAGGTGAGAACCCGCCAATTCCTCGGACTGAGATGACCAGCCGCCCCACCCCACCCCGAACCATATTGGGGCTTTGGAAAGCGTGTAATCCAGTGCACTACACGACTGCATCGGTTCTTGGCCTAACAAGCTATATGTCAAGGCTGACGATAATATTAATGACTGGAGCAATCAAAATTGTTGAAAATATCCAAAAAGATCACGCAGCTAAATCAGATAACTGAAAACTAGCAGATTTCCCCCCTGATATCACAGAGAAAATAGTTATACCAACTGGTTTTGGTTATGCGCCATCACAGTAACTTAAATTGATCAAACTTAACGTACGAAAAATTGAATAATAATTAAAGCGCACCAAAAAACGACCCTTCAACTTACTTACCAAACGCCGAGCTTTTTCAATAAATTCATTCAAGGGATTATAGTACTGATTTGATGGGTCTATCTGCTCAATAAACTCAATAGCCATGTCTAGCAGTGCTTCAAGTCGCGACCGTTGTTCCTCAGTTGTAGGGGTCAAATTATCCGGATCAGCAGTATTGCCTTCTTGGCTAGTCGCTGAGGTGAGTTCACGCACTGCGAACAGGCACCATTCGGCCAGGGCAGGGGGACGATAAGACGTGTGATCGTAGAGACGAAGCACTACAGAAACAGAGGAGGTGGGTCGTTTTCGATCAAGCAAATGGTAAGTAGCAAAGCGATGAATAAGGTTAGTTCTACGAGAAATTGATCATGACGTGAGTAGAGTTTGACAATTATATTTGGCATGCATTCTTAATATCCAATATCCGGTAAAATTCTTATTTGCAAACGGATACGAACGAAGGATAGGGAATCGTATCATTCAATGTCTTTAAACAGAGGTACTCGGTATGGTTTAAGCTTCCACTACTAGGCCGAGGATATCCCATATGTGAAAAAGCCTTCTTTCTATATCCCCATCTTACGGTGTTCTGTTACGGGCTTGACCACCACATACCTCTTACAAACAGTACACAGCGCGTTGGAATAGACCGCTCAGTGGTGTTAGTTTCTACATATATATATTTCTATATTTAACACCGGCTTGTGGAAAAGCATGGTGCCAACGCCAAAACAACAATAACAGTGTTAGTTTCGGATGCACAATGTCGCAACTATCCCAAACCGGAAAACTCCAAGCGAACCTTAGGATTATCACCCTCAGCATCATCAGTATCGTACAGCGAAATACAGTGAGGCGAACTTCACTGATCACTGCCAAACTAGCAATGCATATGCATTGAGGTTTGACGGACGGGTACTGCTAGGGTGTCCAGCCACTAAGCAGGAGAACGACTAGGGTTCTCAACCAAAGTCTTTAATTCTGACAAGAACCTAGCCGCTAGGCAGCGGGTGAAGCGAAGTGGAAGCCCATTTACTTGGATAAACTACTACTCCATTATTTTTCCCCTAACGAAACGCAAATTCGAGTCAAACCCCCAACCTGGAGGACCAGGTGACTGGACTTCGTCCGACCTCTACCCTTCGGCCTTCCAGACACGATTACATATTCGGCTTGACAAAAGCCATCGTGTGTAGCCCATTGGGTCGGAGAGACGCACAAGTCATCGCAAAAGTCAAGTAGCAGTCTCGTTGTGATGGAGATTAGGATTATCACGAAAACCACCGTTTTGTCATCATCATTCACACGGGTCCGAGTACAGACTACGTGGCAAACAAATCATGGCACAACAACATTTATAACAAATAGAGACGGTTCTTGATCATATCATTTGATTGAGAAGCCACTGCGCATTTTGTCAGTTAAAGTTCCATTCAAACAATTTGATGAATTTCCATCTAACTAGAGTTAAGTGGCCAAAATTGAACTATTCTGCATGTGTGAATAACTCAGCGAGACCGGGGTGACAGATCGATCCAGGATGAAAACTATCGCGTGATAGGCCTTTAAAACACCTCATGGAGCTAAAAGATTCATCCCCTGATCGCTGAACATTTTCACTTAACCATGCAACCACAACAATATCATATAGCACAAAACGGAACGGTCGGGATGCGATCGAAACGTTAGTGAAAACGTAGCCTGCACTCGCGCAGGCAAGTAAGATATTATGAAAAGACGGTGCGATAAACGAGTAAAAGTGATTGAGTAAAGTTAATGAACATGGCAATGCCTCCGTCAAGCGATGAAGTTTCAAATTTGAAGCTGAACAGAGTGGTTGGAATGAATGGAGTAGTTGAATCCTGATCCACGATTTGATTTCAATCAATCACTCATCAAATCCAGAGTGAGGCTCCATCCTCTTTCTTATCACTCGTTCGTCAGATTATCACTTGCAACTAATAATTCCTAGCCCATCGCGGTGTAGCTGCTTTTTCAACAAATACAAGCTGGAGTGAGGGACACTCCGCCGCTCTCGCTGAACGATTTCACTTACTTTTGATCTTAATCTTTTCCAAACAACAATCAACATACTTTTTTACCTTAAACTGTTTTCACCCACCTTACAGTAGTCTTTGTGGCATGAGGTGTCTGTTTTGTAAAAAGAGACTATGTGGTAGGGCTGACTCGAAGTGCACAAGTACACTCATGTACCGTATTAAATATGTAACTTACCGGCTTCCGCCCCTTGTATATATCCTTTTCTTAATGCAAACAAGAACAGATTCCGTAATAAAAATTCCTCCATGATACCTACAAGGCAAATTTTTGAAGTGACAACAAACGACGAACAAGTTTACCATAAGCGTCCTCTTCGGACAGAGAAGCTGGCATTGTGACATCATGAGTGGAGTCCAAATCCACCATAATGGAGGCTGTGGGGGACGAAAACAGAATCCAGCGTTCAACTTGCACACAACTCTATCAACTCTCCGGTATTCATGAGAGTGAGTTTCATTTCTATGTCAACGGTGAATCTAAGCAAAAAATATACTGCAAGAATTGATCAGCAAGGGCGAAATTCAATTAGGGTTTCATTCACTCTCCCAGTCTAACAACAGTATGTATTATTTATCACTCAGACAAAGCCTAATTATCAAATACATCATATCCGACGGAAAAGATGAGGAAACAAAACGGTTGAATTAAAATAATTTTGTCAATTGCACTTCGCAGTTATGATTACGACGGTTTTTCGTCACCAGCTACTGACAACGGAATCTATTAACTGTTTTATTACACTCTTTCGTGTGATGAACAGCAAACGGCGAAATCCCCATAGTCACGAGGACCTGCTGTTCGATGATGGAAACCGGTGACCTAAGCCTCGGGACTTGGAGTGGCCAACCACACAAGGCCCCGATAGGTTAGGCGTGGTATTGAACAAGACGATAGCAAAGCTGCCTACCATCCAAAGCACGCCTGTAACAGCGACTAAATCACTGCACCACCACCACTGCCCATGCACTGCTCGTGACTGACTCTCAGGGCACTGTCCAGTAATTCAGAGGATTACAAGCAGAAAACCAGTCGATGAGAGCACATAAACTAGGCGACCTTTCTGTCTCTTACACGTGGCTATCTGGAAGGGGCTATCATAACTAAAAGGAAAAACCAAGTGGATGGAGTCAACGAACTACATCTCAATAAATTCACTACTTTAAACCACTGCACAACGTAGTGTAATCAAGAGTAGATGGGGTGAACCCAAAAAATCAGAAATGTTAAATAATGAGAATTGCTAAAAAGACATATTCGGCTTGTTTGGTAGTCATGACGCTGAGCTGATCGACAGCGAAGGTTGGGTAGTCACATTGGCGTTCAAATCTCGTATCTTAAATTCCGGTACAAGCCACCTTTGACTACTTGAGCCGAAAGAGCACCAGGACATACACTATGGTCTATGACTGTGCTGAATTGAGTAAACTGAGTTCTTATTACCATGTGGCGAGGACAGCCGTTTTCATTACACATTTTTATGTGATGAACAGTGGAACAGTAAAACAGTAGAAGTGCACAAGATGTCCAGGGAATTAAAGTGGGAAACCACATACGCCAACCTGACTTCGGGTAGTTGAAATCTCAGGTCCATAAATGCCAACAGTGGTGAGGCAGTATATTTGACCAAGTAAAAGCAGTATTAGTTACATGAGCTTGCAAACGAACAACCTGCCGAATGGGCGCATAAGTGGCATAAGAGTAGACGATGCCTGAGGACTAGACCAAACAAATGGTAAATGGGAAGAAATTCAATGCATCCCAGTTGCACGAAACCAGTTGTGTTCATCAAATTACTTTACTTTAACTGGCGCCAGAAAGGGGAAAATCCGGTTTCATGAAGTCAACTAAGGTTTACAGTATTTTCACGAGAAATGTCCCGAGTGCAACATGACTTCTTCTGAAGCACAAATCTAGACTAAACATAACCAAATGTGAAGTGTAAGGCAACAGCGTGTGGGTGCAGTATTACTGGTAGCTAGTTGGGAGTTCATGAGCCAGGCAGGCGATGTGAATGCAACCCAGAGATTCATGCCCGACTGTTAGTCGGACAGATTTTCTTCACAGCCATTGGGTCAGGAAAAACTTTTCGTTTAGAAACAGAGGAGTAGCCACCTTCACGTAACCTCTGAAGACCATAGACTGGTCCGGGGTGGGTGTCTTGGGTTGTGGCTGGTTACCTCTGCACCAAGCGCCTCATAGTCTCTGCTGAGGAAGGAGATTTCCCATCAAGGCGAGAGGACGAAATGCCAACATCCGGGTCCATAACTGGAGCGGTGAACCACTAGCAGTTCACCTTGGAGGAGTTGGCCAAAAGCCCTGATTCCGAACCAACCAAGAGGCGTTCGAGCTATGCGCACCCATTTCTGGTTTTGGCAGTAGTCACCGGCCCGATTAGGTATCCAGGCATATTGGGGACCTTGATCGTTTGACTCCATCCAAAAGGAGAACTATTCGATGGACTGGACACCGGTACGTAGGGGATTGCGGCTTTTACAAGCCGTATTTTGCGGGTCAAGCTTCGGCCAGCCGAAGGCTCCGGTTGTGAATTCCAATGAAATTCACCTATCTTGCCCTGGCCACCCTGACAGTATCGCACCCACAAACAAATCGAGGAACCTCTTCTTTTTATAAAGATTATTATATTTTTCTTTGTTTGGCGCATGGTCTGGACTCAGATGTATGTGAAAAAAGTAACCATGACCGTTTTCGTGAACACCAGAACCTACGTACACACGAAGCACCGCTGGAAACAATAAACATCACTGTTCGCAGTTCCGTTGCGTGATACCAACAGACCCATACTCCACGATATAAAACCCCTTGAACGAAAACCAGATAAGAACCTAATAAATGACCACGGTGGACAGGGTGAAATAAGAACGAGAAAATACTAAGGTGACTGACACTAATCTCAATCTTTTCCAGTTATTTAATACTTGGCATGTGTATGCTTTATGCACTCCGAGGGTGAATATTGGATAACGCTGCATCATCACCATCGTACCGTCAGATACAGTGTAGCGAACGTCACGGATCGTTTCCAAGCTCATAATGCACACACAAGATGGCGATGGAATGGACCTAATTGGAGGGCAGAAAAGAAAGTTGACCTCTGTGGCATTGGATCTCTCAGGAGTCAGTAATCCTGATNCCCAATCTGCCAGGATAAGAATAAGGACCGGTGTCGCCTGTAGCGTCAACTCAGAAATAGCCTTAAGAAAGAACGCGAAAATTGGTGGGCCAAAATAGCTAGTGAAATGGAGGCAGGTTCTGCATCAGGGAATAGTCAAAGACTATTTCACCTGATACGCAGCACCAGAGGTCATCGCATACCGGTCAGTGAGACCATTTGCAATAAAAGTGGACCGAGTATCCACAATAAAGAACAACGACTTGATCGCTGGGCAGAGTATTTTAGTGAACAGTTCAATTGGCCCAATGCTAATGTGGTCATTCCAGCAACTGTGGCGGAAACCCTATGGGCGGTAACATGCGACTCCCCATCAGAATCGGAAGTACGAATCTGCATTCAATCACTAAAGAACGAGAAGGCTGCGGGACCTGATAGGTTTCTCC